CATCTCCGGTGTGACACTCTGCTGCTTCTCTTGAACTCTGGGGACTTTCGACAGGCAATTAAGTGATTCATTGAAAAATAATGGACAATAAAATTCTAATGTTGGTTGAATGGTTAAAGGGAATAATAAGTGTTGTTTCAACCTGTTACTCTTCCACCTACATTGCTAGCTATGCATGTGTATAGTGTTTACCATGTGGTGGACTGGATCCAGCACTCAAAATGTAGCTTAGCTTCACATGCACACTTATCTGATGGACACAAATCTTATCCACAGTTTAAAAGAAGAGCGTCTGAATTCCATGCTTATCAAAAGTGATGACACCAACCGTATCGGCCCATTTCCATGCCTAGGCCAATATGTTCTCCTTTTGTTATTGCACACACAGAATATCAGGGTTGTATCCTTTTTATCTGAACTCCTTTTAGTGATGGTACATTTCATTACAAGATAACATGTGTATTTACAATCGCATGTATTTTCTCTGACTTTTGAATTCTGGGCAAATAAAAATAGAATTTGTAATCCAGATCATTATAATGTAAGTGCACCCTTTTAAAAAGAGGAATGAACTTTTAATTCTTAATGGTATTCAGACATTGGAATTGAAATGTTAAAAAATATCCAAAATAAATAAAACAAGTTTTATAAAACACAACTTTACTATAAAAATATTCTCTGGCTCTGTTAACAACAACCATGTCTTCTAATGGTCAAGAAGACTTTCTGGCATCATGTTGGCTAAAATTTTGCTCTTCTGTAGACAAACAGCCAAAATGATTGGAGTCATATCTCTATATCGTAAGATAAGTTGATATATTTGCAACTAGCCAAGTCTTTTTCTTTCAACACATGATGGTTTACTTAAATAATAGGACTACAATTAGATCCTTAATTATTGTGACATGCCTATTTCTAGCACATAACATGCACACATGTTCTCACTGCTTCAACAGACCGCTTTTCCTCAGTACCACGAAGAAGCATAAAGATGAGCTCACATTGTTGCTGACCCTCATATAGTCAAGAGTTGAGCAGCACCTGTCCTGCTGTCTTTGTGTTGGCGGCTTGTTTTATGGTTCAGAGAGATGGAGGGAAGGGTTTGTTAATTGCTATTTACACACAAGAGTGGATGCTCCCGTCAGGCATTGTGGAGGCAGCCGAGAGCTCAAAGGGACGTAGGAAGTCTGTTTCACTGAAGTCCTGTGTCATGGTAATGCAGACCGAATGGGTCGTCTTTATGGTCGCCCTGGAAGTCGTCTATGAACAGTAATGGTGATACTTTGACAGAGAAATAGTTTGCACTTTGTTATTTGGTTAAAAAGTAGTGTTGTCGCGATGCTTCGATACAATACCAATTTAAAATACCTCACGGAAAATTTGACACAACATTGAATGCATAAGATATTAGATTTTTATTAAAAGATAAAAATATCAAGGCCCTAATATGACGGACGTTTCTTTTCTTGGCTAGTAGCAGAGAACAGCAGAATAAGTGTAGTAAACCTTAAAAACATGCTCCCATGTCTCGAGCTGATGTGGAGTTTGAGTTTTGACCCTGTGAGGTTACTGTAGTGTTGTATCGTATTAAGCTAGCAATGTAAAGTAACAATTCGTTAATTTCTACAGGGAAGTTTCCTGTGACGTAAAATGGATCGGTTGCGATGCTAATTTCCCTTAGCGCATTGATTTTCATCAGGTGTTAGCATCGAGCTAACGTGCTAAACGCTTTTTGTTTGCCTCATGGTTGTAGCAGTTATGCTAGCTATGTTGGGTGTTATTTCAGCAATATGCTGACAAACTTGACACCCAATGCTCACGGAGGGCGGAATGAAAATGAAACCCGCAAATCATTACTTTAAACTGGAGCGAATGAGATGAGTCACAACCAGAGAGGAGGCGGGGCTAAACTGCAGCTGGTACACGTGTATCGATACCGCAGGACATGAGTGTTGAAACCTTTTCAAATATTTAGTATTGAAATGTGTCAAAAAAACGTACCTACATACAGTCCGCTCTCTACTTAATAGATTTAAGAATATCAATTCAACTTGCTTTTTACCGTTATATTTACAAATGAGACAGACTGTTGGGAACTGTTGTGTACTCACAAGTTTGTTTTCTGGATCACTAGGGTAGATTCAGAGTTTCTGCTAGTAGCAAAGACATAGTAGAAAGACGAGCTGGTGGACAAATCGGCTTCAGCATTTTTATCCCGTTGAGTAAAGCTGAAAAGAAAACATCTGCCGTGTGACAGGAAGCAGTCAGGTTGATGTGAAGGACACCATCTTACGATGTGAAGGACACCAGCACTAACCATGCTGGTTGATGTGAAGGACACCAGCACTAACCATGCTGACTGCAAGCTATTTTGATTACAGGACAGTTAATATCACTAAGGTGTACTGATGGCTCTGTGATGGACTATTGAGCTGTACACTCAAACCCCAGCCTAACTAACGCGGTAGGGGCCCGTCTAAAACTGAGCTACAATAACTTAAAGTTATTAAGTGATTCTGGGGCACGGCATAATGTTTATTAAAAAAGGAAAAGTACCAATTTGTGCACGCTATTTCATGTAACGAACCGATAAGTGGGTGAGGAAAATTAGTGGGAGGTAGGAGCGGAGTGTGGAGGAGGAAATAAATTAGGTTACCGGAGGGGGGGGGGCTGTAGCAGCTTGTGTTTTTTTTTTTTTTTTTGTGCATAAAAGAAACGGGCACACCACCTCTCTGTCCTACCTACCTACACTCATTCATGCATGCTTACATCCACTTACCTCCACCCTCTCACTCGTGCAGGCTGGGTGTGTGTCTCTAGATCAGTTTTTACAAAATCCTACATGCAAATGTGATAAGTTGAATCATGGTAAAGTAGGTTTGCCATATGCATGTTTATTTTCCTTTTACCAAGGGAGAGCAACAGACCCACAGGGAGGCTAATAAGGTAGTATGTGGATAACTGGCTTGTTTTCACACATCTGTCGAGACTGACTGACGGACTCTTTAGCTAGCCAGCTGAATTACTTGCCGACCAAGAAGCTACTGGTCGACTGCTGCACAGAAAAAGCTCCCTGGCCTGTTGGCTGGCTGATTTCTGGCTGGCTGGATGGCAGCTGCTGCTGTTCAAACAAGAGTTGCATCTGCTGGGCCCCTTTTTGTTCTAACACACACATGCACACACTCTCTCTCTTACTCACTCAATGACTCCGAGTGTGTGTTTGGAAAGAAAGAAGTTCTTTTGTTGGGTAGTAAAATTGAGGTGGGGGAGGGTTTGGGGGCAGTGCTAATATGAAGTGTGTGTGTGTGTGTGTGTGTGTGTGTGTGTGTGTGTGTGTGTGTGTGTGTGTGTGTGTGTGTGTGTGTGTGTGTGTGTGTGTGTGTGTGTGTGTGTGTGTGTGTGTGTGTGTGAGTGTGTGTGTGTGTGTGTGTGTGAGAAGGAGAGGTTTTTTTTTTTTTTCAATGGGTGCATTTTTCTGAATCTGAAACTGATTACCTTGCTAAACATGGGAGTTAATCCACTGCACCTCTGCTCAGCAGGTAACAAGGCTGCTGATAAATGTTGAAAATGAGTTTGTATGATGCAACATGTAGATGCTTTGGGGGAAACTATTCTTGAGATTCCCTGGCCAATATTGCAGTTTAGATTGTGAAAATATCCTATCTAGGCCTGTATTGGGGTCTACATGGTTAAATCGTGTACCAACAACAAACCTATGGACTCTTATTTATTTGAAATAAATATTAGGGATAAAATGATGCATTGTTTGTTTCTAAGATTTTACAAGAGTTTTAAGTAACCTAGTACTACTAGCTACGGCTTTGGTTCATTAGGTGACATAAAGCAACACCTCATGACTGACTTTTTGACTCGACTCACTTTTGGTACGTCCTTTTTTCTGTTTCAGTCAACACTGCAGCTAGGACCCCGTCGGTGTATGTTTGATTCTCAGCTGATTGCCATAGTGACGTCGTGGTAACTATCGGGACATCCTGTTCGATGCCACACTCGCGAAATCCTTAAAATTCCAACCAAACATCAGTTGTATGCCATAGTGTGCAGCGTGATTCTGCAGGCTGCCAATCTATTTAAATGTGTTGAGTGAATATAAAATTTGGTTGCTATTTAAGGTAGCTTTTCCACGGCGTTACAAATGGTGGGTTTGTGCATGATGTCCCGTGTTGCACTAGTGATGATTCTCTGACCAATGAGTGGTCTGAAGTGGTTCTGAAGTGAACTCCAACTTTTAGTATCAGATCAGCTTGCTTGGAACTTTGAGGTGGTATAAAGAAGTGTACCAGGTACTGTTAACAACTTTTACAAATGGAAACCCCCCCAAAAAGAGTTGTGTAGCATAAGATATTCCATAATCGATATACTTGAAATGACTCTTTAGCCATGACACTAGGGCTGGGCGGTATGACCAAAAATGCATATCACAGTATTTATTTTTTTTTCGCGTTAAAGCATTAATTAATTAACGCCAAAAAGAACCGGGCGGCCAACCGGCCAGCGAGCGGTGAACAGCTGTTTGTGTGGCGTGTCTTCCGTTCCGTGACTTCCTGTTTCCTTCACCTACATTCCCCTGGGTCCTAAGCCCCTCCATGTACAGCTTCTTATCACCCTCTATGTACCAATGTACATTTATAACAAATACCACACATATTACACTGTAATCAGCGTTGCATATGTCTGACCAAAATACCTTTTGTTGTTCATCCTGCATCGCTCTTTTCTGTTCTTTAATGTAACGTTACTGGAGTGACAGAGCCTCTCCCAGCTGTTAGCAGACTGTTGCTAGCGAGCTGTACCCAGCATGCAGTTCGGCGGGGAAATTTTATAAATATACAATTATTAGTGTTACAAATTGTTTATGCATCACAAACTGTTGTGTCGTAGTGTTTTGCCATGTTAAAGAGCGTTAGTTGTGGGTTGTTAATTGTTATAACCATGACTAGGGTTCCCTCTCAATACACGAACAATATATTTTGCTGCCTGTTGAAGAGCGACAGAATTTGTTTCGGCTGTGCATGATGGTATATGAAAAATTCATATCATACGGAAAATTTAAACCGGTATACCAGTTAACCGGTATACCGCCCAGCCCAACATGAAACTCAAACATAGTGTGCTATGGCTACATAGTTATCCATATATGGCAATAACGATAAGCTACCAATTAGTCCCGTCTAACAAATAGGGTTGATAACAATTTAACAATTGCCTTTTTACCTGCTAGCTTAGAGCTAGCTGCGTGTTGCAAAATGATCAATGCTGTGCTGCTCACCCAAACTATACTGCAACCACTTATTCACACAAGAATGATTCTTCTGTCAAATTAATAGTGAAGACTGGCGGTTTCAAGTCATTTGGTGGCAGACGTGTAATAAATCAGCCTTTGAACGTGTCTGTAACTTTGTGCAATTGTCGAGGTCTGCTCAAACCGTCATCAAGGAGTTCTTAAACTACATTCATCACAGTCCAGCTTTCAGAACAGCACTTCATTCGAAGCGTACAGCAGTCTTTTGGTCGATGCACTAATTCCAATTTTTGTCATTCTTTCTCCCCGCCCTCTGTCCGTCTCTCCAGGAACCTTAAATAGGACCATGGAGTAGCAAGCTTCAAATTAGCAGTTAGCTGATTAGCTCCTCACTGCACAACACACCTCCCTCCATCCAGTCCCCTCCATCTGCAGGCCCCCCACCCAGCCATGGCGGACCCAGGGATGTTGAGCCTATTCGGGGACGATGCAGGGCTGTTCTCAGATGGATTGGATGGTTTAGGGGACTGCTTTCCTCAGCAGCCTGCCTCCGCCCAGTCCAACCCTTTAACCCAGCAGACTAATCCCTCTCTGAACCACGAGCACCAGGGAAACAGGGGCTACCACCAGGGGATGATCCACGGCGCTGGGCCCGGCCCCGGGCAGCCTAAATTGGGGCAAATGTACGACCATGGTCCCTACACAGGCTACGATCAACCTGGTGCCCCCGCGGGACGAATGATAGCCCAGAACGGCCCCAGCCAGGGGCCACCAAACGTGAACACGCCCATGAATGGCATGGCTTCCCACTACCATAATACCCCAGCTAACTCCAGCAACCCCCACCATGGGTACCCGGGTGATGCTGGGGGAGGTGGAGGAGGAAGTGGAGGAGGAGGTGGCGGCGGTGGTGTTTGGGGGCAGCAGCAGACCAGATCAGCTTATCAGCAGCCTCCGACACAAGCAGGGGGCGGCCCCAACCAGATGGGAGCCTACCAGATGTCTCAAGGCAACTATAGTGGGATGCAAGGCCCACCTACACCCAATGCAGCTCGCATGAACCAACACTACCCTTCGCAGAGCATGGTACCCCCTCCTGCTCAGGACCCATCTCACTACCTGGGGCATGTTGGAATGGGTGGGGCTCAGATGAGACACCCCCAGCCTCAGTCACAACCCCAGGGTTATCCCAACATGGGCCACACACCCCGATACCCACACTCCCCCTCCCGACAGCCTCCACACCAGCACCAACAGGGCATGGGAGGGTTTGGGGGTGCCCAGTACCCTGGCTATCAGGCCCAGTATGGAGCCATGGGACCTGGGATGGGCCAGGGTGCCAATGCTAATGTCAATGCTAACACAAGCCAGGCCATGGGACCAGGGCAGCTCGGCCAGAGGTTTAACCAGGGATCAACCCCAGCAGCTGGGCCACAGGGGCAGCGATATCCCCCTGGACCACCGCACCAACCCCAGCCCCATCCAACCCATTCTGCCCCAATGCAGCAGGCAGGGCAGCAGGGCCAGCCTATGCACCCTCAACACCCCCAGAGTCTGCCCCCGGCCCAAAACCAGCCCCAATCCCACCTTGCCCCCCCAGCTCAGGGAAATTACCCCTCCCCCTCATCCATGTCCCCAATGCGGGTTTTGGGAACCCCAACACCTCCTCCCCAGCAGAGCAGACCCCCCAGCGCAGGGCTAGCCGGAGCCCCAGAGGTTGCAGGGTACACAGCCCTGCAGTCTCAACCCAATGCTATGGCCCAGAGAACTCCCCAAATCCCTCTGTCTGCCCCACAGCCCCAACACCAGCAGCCCCTCAACATGCCTCCCAGTGCAGGGCAGATGTATCCCGGCATGGGGCCGCAGCGTGGTCCTCAAATGGGGCCAAACAGGCCTCAGCTCCAGAAAGGTAAGCACAGGACAGTTGATGCGTTCCCATGTTGCTTTGTCATTGGTCTCACGTTTGGTGCTTGATTGGCACCTACTCAATCCATTCACTTCCTCTATGCACATCTAAAAACAGAGTGTAAGTACAATGCAGAGATGTTAGACTGACCTTGTCTTTACACGGTTTCTGCCACATGTTCATAGCAGTTGAAATACCAACAGACCCAAACATTGATTTAAGAACATAACTCCAATTGGAAGAAGAAAAAGCTTTAGCCGTCTTGTATCACCTTCCTCATGAAATACACACATTCCCTAGACATGTCAGTGGTCAGATCACACAGTCAGGTGATGCAGCTTCTCTAGGGTTGTTGTAGTGGATCGTCCTCATGGGCAGAGATGGTCCACACTGTAGATGATGTTCCAGCAACCCTCCACAATACAGTAGAACTAGGTTTACACACTTTAGTTGCTTCTGCGCGTAAATCCTACACTTGGACGAGGGAATTCTTGAAGTAATTCAGAAACTTGATTTGGCCTGTAAACCTGTAATGTTTATTTTACACATATGAGCCACTCCACTTTTTGCTTACCTTTACTTATTGACAATTGCATGAAACTTAAATTGAGCTTCTGTTTTTATTCTTGTTTCTTTTCTGAATTTACTTTTGATTATGCTTTTCAATGCTTGTAAAAAGCAGTACAAACTACTTTTGTACTTTGTTTTACTTCTTAATAGAAACTGATTTACTGCAGCCACCTAGTGTGTCTGTTACTTTAATATTCTACAAATGTTTATGATGGTGTTGGTGATGGAAACACCAACAAAGTGATGGTCTTGGTGATGGACAGGAGGTAAAACACATTGTTGTTGATCATGCATCCACACAGTCGGGGCTGATGCCGTGTTCCTCTCCCCGTCTCAAGTCCCAGGGCCTCTTGAAGCTCCAGTCAGCCAGGGGGGAGACCAGCGTCTGCTCCAGACCCCGCTGCAGGCCCCCCGGAGCGGGCAGCCCACTCCCATGGGCTTCCAGGGTCCGGCCGTCGGTCAGCATGGCGTCCCGGCCCCGATCCAGTGCTTGGCACCGCCCGCCCAGAGCGCTCCGACGCAGCACGCACACATGCCGCACCACCTGCAGAGCACGCCCCCTCCCCCCAACCCGGCCTCCCACCCCTGGGCGCCTACCACCTCCCGCCCGCTCTCCTCACCCCCTCTCACCCCACAGAAAGTGCCTCACGTACAGGTGAGTCTCCCGTCAAACAAACACTTTGATGTGGTAGCAGCATCAGTGTGTGTGTGTATGTATGAGAGAGATCAAGACCGTGCATTTGTTTTCATGTGTGGGTGGTTTTCATGCGAGTGTTTATTTTTCATGTGGGTGGGGGAACGTGTGTGTTTGGAGTGTAAGGGAAGTGTGCGTTCTGTGTGTGCATAAATGTGTGTACATGACATTTGAGAACACAGCGGTGCACTGGGCCCTGGTTCAGTGGAGTTGTGTGTTTTTTGCCTTTTGTATCTTCTGCTGTGGGCCTTGTGTGTGTGTGTGTGTGTGTGTGTGTGTGTGTGTGTGTGTGTGTGT